CATTGCTCAGAATTGTTGAGGTCAATTCCATCCTCTTGGATCCAGGTGGACCAGTTGTTGTGAACTGTCTTTGTACAAGTCAGTTCCATCCTCTTAGATCCAGGTTGAACCATTGCTCGGAGTTGTCCTTGTTCAACTCAATTCCCTTCTTTAATCCAGGGAGATTCATTGCTCACCATGGTCCTTGTTGAGGCCAACTCTATCTTCTTGGATACAGGGAAACCCACTACTCAGAACTGTCTTGGTCCAAGCCAATTCCATCCCCTTGGATCCAGGTTGACCCATTGCTCTCAGTTTTCTTTACCCAAGCCAATTCTCTCCTCTCAGTTCCAGGTTGACCCATTGCCTATAACTGCCTTTATCCAAGCCAGTTCCATTTTCTCGGATCCAGGTTGACCTGTTCTTCAAAAGTGTCTTTATCCAAGCCAATTCCACCCGCTCAGACCCGAACTCCCAAATATTCCTTTCCTTTCCTCCTGCGGGCAGGTGTTAGATCTCATCTCCAGCGACAGCCTCAACGTGCCTTCGGAAGAGGAAGTCTACCGAGCCGTCTTGAGCTGGGTGAAGCACGATGTGGACAGCCGGAAGCAGAATATTCCCCGAGTACGTTGCTTTCCAAGATAAACTGTAAGCATTTGATGAAAAGGTGGATTCCCTGGAATTCCCACCTGAGCTTCGTGTGCTCCTCAGTTATGACAGATAGTCTTTCCTTAAGGCTTACAAATACGTGCCATGTTTCTTGAAGAACGACCCACCATTGCCATTCCCCAAATATTGTATCTATCTATCTATCTATCTATCTATCTATCTATCTATCTATCTATCTATCCCTGTATCTCTCTCTCTCTCCCCCACCCCTCACCACCTTGTGTTGTTTGCAATGCAAGCGGCGCAAGCCTTGTGGTCCCGCGGGCCATGTGAAGGGCGCAGCCTTGTGTTTCCGCGCAGCCTGGATTAATTGCTTTTGGGGGGTGACATTTCTCTGCAGACCACCCAAATTTTCTCACGGACCACCAGTGGTTCCCGCCCGCTGGTTGGATGACCACTGACCCAGACAAACCCTAACCCTCCCTAGAGGGGCATCTCTATCCCTCACGGAGAATGAGAGACAGAAGCTTCTGAAGTCAAAACTGCTGTTCTCCCCCGTAGATGGTTTCTCCCCAGAGAGCAACCAAGGCAATGTGACCCCGGCGTGGGAGGCCTGATTGAGCCCCTTTCTGGGTTTTAATTCTTCCTCTTTTTTTTTCCCCAGCTGATGAAGTGCGTCCGCCTTCCCTTACTCAGCCGGGATTTCTTGATGAGCAACGTCGACACTGAACTGCTCGTCCGGCATCATTCAGAGTGCAAAGACCTGCTTATCGAAGCTCTCAAGTACCACTTGATGCCTGAGCAGAGAGCAGTCCTGAGCAACAGCCGGACCCGTCCACGGCGCTGCGAGGGAGCCAGCATGGTGCTCTTCGCTGTGGGTAAGGCCTGGAGGAAGGAGCAGAGCAGGAAAGGAGGGAAGGAAGGAAGGAAGGAAGGAAGGAAGGAGGGAAGGAGGGGAAGGACAGAAGGAGAGGAGGGGTAGGAAAGAAAAGAGGCAGAGGGAAGGAGTGGGGAAGGAAGGGAAGGAGGTAGAGGGATGGAAAGAAGGAAGGAAGGAGGAAGAGAGGGTAGGAAGGAAAAGAAAAGAGGGAGAGGGAGGGAAGGATGGAAGGAAGGAAAGGGGAGGGAGGGAGGAAGGAAGGAAGGAAAGGAAAAGAGGGAGAGGGAGGGAGTGGGAAGGAAGGAAGGAAAGGAGGGAGAGGGAGAGGAGGAAGGAAGGAGAGGAAGAAGAGGAAGAGAGGATAAGAAGGAAAAGAAAAAAAGGTAGCTGGAGGGAAGGATGCAAGGAAGGAAGGAAAGGAAAGGTAGCCTTGATATTTCTTAAAAAGTATCTTCTCTGCCATTTTTGGCTGCGGAATTCTGGCAGTTGTAGTCCCAGAATTCCCCAGTCCACACCTCTTAAAGTTGCTAAGTTTGAAGAAGACTAAGCTGGTTGTGTGCATTGTAGGAAAACGGCCAGCGTGTGATGTACTTCCAGCAAATTTTCCCCAACGGAGCTGAACCTGAATGAATCCAGCCCAATTTTGAGAAAAATTATTCTCATGTTTTCTCTCCCTCCCTCCCTCTCCCTCCCTCCCTCTCTCTCTCCCTCTTCCCCCCCCCCTGCAGGTGGAGGGAGCCTTTTTGCCATCCATGGAGATTGCGAAGCCTACGACACGCGGACTGACCGCTGGCACATGGTCGC